CGGCAGCTGTGCATTTGCTGAGGCGGTTAACTGTTGACAAAGCCTACCGACAATTTGTCAATTAAGCGGCACCAATATATGCACGTATTTATGTGTGTTAAACACGTGACGACTGAACGCTCGAATGTTGCGCTGATTTTTGAAATGCGGGTCAAAGGTTGAAAGTATTCGCACAAATTTACCTATACGCATGTATGTATGTATGTGTATACATATGTGCGTTTACATATATGCTACCACATCCCTTTATGCGTGTGTGAACAGATTGCGACACACTTTTTCACAGCTTACAAATATCAAAATCACTCAACTAATCCAATAAATATTAAATTTGCTTGTTTTTACTAATACACTCGTATGTGTTAGATGCACACGCTTGAAAAATTAAGTTATCATAAAATTTGTGAAAATTTGCTGCAATACTTACACATATCTATCAAACTTTCACATATATAGTACATATGTATACGATATAGTTTTAAATTGAAGTTGAAAATTTCTTAAAGCATTTTTCACATTTCTTATTGTCATGTTCGTTTTAGAATTATGTTGTCTTCACACATACACGTACCACCAAGTATATTACCTGCATTCTATTTTGAAATATTACCGTTTCCGCCGTGTCATCTTTTAAGCCTTCAGCGGCGACACAATCAAGGCACTTAACACGCCATTTACAGATCTAGATGTTGAATGATTTCGGTAACAAAAGCTGAGTAGAATGTTAAGAGCATGGCGAAAAAATCCAGACAGCCACCAAACATATACATGTTAGGGTGGGCCAAAATGTTCTTTTCTTTCCTAAGGTGCGCGATGACAAAAAATGTTTATTTCATGAATTTATCGCACTAAAACAACGTAAATAATAAATAAAAAATATATATTTTTTGATTTTGCGTTATTATTTTGTAAAATTATTTAAAAGAATTTACAAATTATATTTTACTAAAAATCTTTTAAAAGAATTTAAAAATGATATTTTACTAAAAATCTTTTAAATTTGATTAAAAATTATATTTTACAATTTATAATGGGCTTTTACCTTGAATATTTTTTGAACAAGTCGACTTGGCATAAAATCATGCTTGACCTTTTTTTTAAGATTGTTGAATTCCCTACAAGAATAAGTTTTCATTTTCACTATACAATAATTTGTTCATTTTCATTAAACATTCAAACAAAATAAGAAAATTATTAAAACTTTTTTTGGCCTACCCTAATACATATCAATGTGCCTACAAAAACACTAAAGTTACGTGGCTTTCGCAGCATAGCGAATCCCTTGACAAATTCACTGATTGAAGCGAGGACTAAATAACCTATTTGTATATAGATGTGTACATACATATGTACATATATCTTATACCTATATTTATGTATGTATGTGTGTAAAAATACCAACTTTTATGCCCGCAAATATCATATAAATGCTAATGTGCTTTCCTTCATAACAAGCTTTGAACTTAGTGGAAGGAGTTTGATTTGAGTTGCCGAAAAATTTTGTTTTTGTACTCGTATGTATGCATATTTAATGTATGTAGGAATAATAGCCGAATATTTTTTCACGCAATCTCACAACTGGATGGAAGCAAGCCTTTCGTATGTCACATATTCAGCGCATAAATACATACTACATTTGTAGAGAATCTACTTTTTTCGGCTACTTAAATTGTGTATACAATTTTTCGTTAACTGAGCAAACAAATTCTTGTATATATTAAACTTTTATTTTGAAAATCAATAACTGGGTAGACTTTAACGTATGTATCATATAAGAAACATCAATTGCCTCTGCGTGAACCTTAAATACACGTTAAATATAAATCTGTATTTAAGGAAGAAAGACAGCCATCAGGTTGACTAGTTGCGCTATTGGTATATAACTAGTAGTAAAACAGCTCATAACTCATTGCCTTTATCGCTGCGTACCTCAACCCTTAAATTCTCCTTCAACTAACATATAAATCTCTATATATTTCACAATCATAAAGTCAAGCATGTAGATATGCGCATTATGAGTTGTGTAATGTTTTGGGCATATTGCCATTAGTTGATTGAGTATGGCACTTATTTTGATCGAAATGCTGTTAGAAATGTATTACAGCCTTCAAGTGAGATTGTGGCGCATACATCTCAACGAAAAATTACTGCTAAAAGCCGTTGCGTGTATGCTATTTACAAATTTAACAGGCGATTATAAGATTTCTTTGACAGCTGAAGAAATATGCGAGAAATTAACACGTTAAAGAGGACGAACTTAATTATGAATCTGTATTGAAATGCATTAAAGTGCAGCTTAACTTTGATTGGATCAAAAAGTTTTTAATAAACGAAAGGCAAAATCTGCCCTCAAACTTTCCAAGCAAAAAAAATGTTTGTTCAAGGTCCAACATGAGAAGGCTCCTGTAAAATCCTGTAAAGCCTTTACACTTCCTTTAATTGTTCGGCCTAGTTTTGTGACAAAAATACTCTCATCTCTCTCAACACCGAAAAAGTAGTTTTATATGGTAAACTCCATGTTTATGACACACAAATGAAATGCTTAACTTGAGCGTTGTAGCAATTTTTTTTTTTTTTTTTTTTTGTAAGACAATTTTATGTAAGTATGTATTCTATTCTTTTGGGTTCAACATTAAATCTTTGCTTTCTCAACTGGAAAATCGAACCGCTAATAAACTCAAAATGTAAAAAAACATTTGTCCACATACGACTGTACATATATACTTATTTCCATATACCAAATTATATATTTATGTACACACGATTTTCTGCTTCGCTAATTTGAATATGTCACGAATTTGCTAAACACACAGCAATCTTGAAACCTGTGTTCGTCCTTAACCACAATTTGGTCACTCGTTTGATGTGGTGCCGCATGCCGCACACCGCACTGCGCTCACCATTCACCATTCACGTTGCGCACAATAAAATTTTCGCTCTTCTAGTCACAGACAATTGGCGACTGTTAGCTGACGCGTGCAGCCCCAAATGCTGCCAACATATACATATATATATACAAAATTCAAATATGGGCGTAATTTCAATTTTCAACGCTCACTTAGCGGACAAAAGTAGTGAAAATAAAAAAAAATTAATAAAATAGTGAAAGTAACTGGAGACGTAGCATTTTATATGCATAAATATATACATACAAATATGTATTTAAAATGAAAAAAAAAAAATTAAATAAATTTGAGACCTCAGCATAAAAACATTTCTGTGGCAGTGTTTGTAATTTTCCAACGCATTATTTTTGTACTTGCTATATCCTCAAGCCATATTACAGTCTTTCTTTGTGCTCACATTTTCCTGCCTCATGTAAGTCAAAGTCATAAAAATAAAAGATGACAAAAGTATGTGTGCATGTTTGTTTGGGTTTTGGCTTGCAACACAATAGTCCTTGCCCCATTTTGTAGCCCTTGAAAAGAGCTCGTGTCATTTCCCAAACGCATTTCACTGTAATGTCAGCGCCATAAAGTTCTCATTGTTTATATTCAGTTAATTATTGTAATGCTGAAACTTTGTCTGTTGTACTTGTTTTTGCGTAACAATTTTTTTTTTTTGCTTGGGCGGGCAACTCTGCCTTGAGTGATGGCTTACAAGTGGACAATGGGTGTGAGCATAGGAAATTACGTTTATTGCGCTCACATTCATGCTTATATCTTATGACATTAACATTGTTCCTGTTTTGAGGGGAAATCGTTAGTTTAATTAGTTATTATGTGCTTGTGTTCTTAAAGAGAATTTAATATGTCGCACTCTTGCTGTCAGTTGTATTTTTGCTTTTATTTTTAAAAGTTAAATTAACTAGCTTTTCTGTGTCATTTTAAAATATTCTTTACGTAATTTGAAATTGTATTTCTCTGTCAACAAGACTGCTTTAGTCCTGAGGCAGATCTCAAAAAAAAAAATACCTACTGAGCTGTCAAATTCTCTCGCTTTTTTTCGGACAGTTTACTTTACTACTATATTTTCAAATTTAAATATTGTATCAATTTCTTGTCTTCATTAGCGACCAATTTGATTGACTAGAAAATGATACCAGTAGAAAATGGCTTTATAAAATTGTTAAATTCTGAAATACTCGAAACCAAACTACAACCACTGTGTTTGATAAAATTTTCGAATAAATATGCTAAGATTTACTGTTAACAATAGGTGGCAACTCTATTTCAAAGATATTCAATACTTCTATTATATTTAGTATGTATTTAACTTAACTGTGACTTGCAAAAGCTTTGTAACATATTGGTAATTTTTATAAGATGGTGGCAACTCTATTCTAAAACAATTTTACATTGAAGACTTCCGGCATGTTCTTTAATTTCTTTCCGTTTTGTATAAATACATTTTTAAATATTTTGCTGATTTTACAATTACGGAAATGTGGCAACTCTATTTCGTAATATGTCTAAATGTAAAATTCCTTGAATATTTGGATTTGAACTAATCAGAATTTTTATTATTTTAACTCCTTGCGTTTGCCACATATTTCGATCTTTTATTGTTGTGTGGCAACTTTGTACGTAAAGATAGCAATTCACGAGGCTTAGAGCAAGACCAAGATTTTTTTTTTAAGGGAGCTTTATACATACCATTAAAAAGAATATATATTTTCGGAATCTACTAGCTGTTGCTGAGAAAAGCCGTTAACGGAAGCAAAGTGGAATTGTCAATTGTCAGCTGTCACTTGTCAAAATTCTATTCCTCGAACAAAAAATTAGGAAATTTAGTTTTTCCTCAGGAACAATAAAAAAAAGAAAACTTCTCAAAATTACAAAATAATTTGAGGCTCATGTTTTGAGCAACAATTTTCAGTTAAAATATATTAAAATATCTTCATAACATAGTTGTACGTACTTTTATCGTTTTCTAAGTCGAAATCGGAATTTTCCAAATTTTTAGACAAAATATATGCTTTTATATTAGAATTTAGTAAACTTAACCTGACTTTTAATTTTAAATAAATATTCCCTAATAATGCATTTTTTTTATTACAGATCCAGAATTTTTACAACAACAACAATATTGCTGAGGTATGTATTTTAAAAATTAACTGGCTACGCAATTTTCATTTAGTGGAAAAAAATCCAAAAAATTAAAAACTAAAGTTGTTCAACATCGGAAAATAGCATAACGTAACAGTTAACAGTTCTACAAGGTGAAATCCCTAAATCTAGTTAAATATTGCCCATCTTTAATATTACGAAACCCTAGTAAACATCTTCCTTTTTCTCGTTACTGCAACCTTTTTGTTAAGTACACCGTTAATTAACGAAAATCTCTTTTTCACCGTTGGACTCGCTTTTGCTATATCTCCTTTTGTCCTCTGGCATATGAATTCATTGTTCTTGCTCTCTCCATTTCTTTGATGCACATTACTTACATACTTACTCATATAATCACCCAAAATGCATATTTAAAGATTGTTCAAGTAAAAGAATCATAATTTTAATGCTTGGCCGTTTCCTTGGTGTCTTATTACACACTGGCATACACACACACACTTCGATACTACTCATATACCGTCTGACAGGCGTCAGTGCCCCTGAACCTGCTCTCGGCTGTTATTGAACACTGTAGGACGGTTAAGTTCATACAAACGCAAACACAAACACACTATAAAGTCTCATGCTGCTCACTTCTCCTCCACTTGCGCTCAACGCATGGCATCGTATTACCATAATAATTCCTTAATTTTTTTTTTGTTTCTGAGAAAAAACTGTCCTCCCATTTTCCGTTTTTATTTATGTGCTTTCTTCTTTAATTTTTTACGATACTCATAAACAAATTATGAGCGGCGCATCGAATTTTTCGTGTGACTTACTCTTCGCCGCAATACGAGTATCGAAGTTGTTGTTGAAAAAAAAAAAATAAACCAAGAAAGAGCATTCACCTATAAAATATTGCACTTACTGTTGGCTGCCAAAGAAAAAAGGTGTCTTAAAAGTTTACGGAGCAATAAAAATTCTCGTAATTATATGACTCCCCTTTTGTCTTTTACTTTAATTTAGCTTTTGCACCCTAATGCTCCCCATTATTATTTACAGTTAAGGTGGCGTTAGGTGTAAATTAAAAATAATCAGTCAAACAGGGTTTTAAGTGACCTCGCCCGAAGTAAAGCTTAATAGGTTTTTAGTTGACGTCGTCGGAACCTCTTTAATTTTTTTTTAAATGATTGTAATTAAAACAAAAACCATTATTCAAGACCTTCTAAATTATATCTCGAAAACCTGTGTAAAATTTGATTAAGACTTCGTTAAGTAGTTCGCGTGAAATCTTAACAACCGACTTTATCAACGCTGTTTCGAGTTTGAGTGATTATAGAGATGACCACGAGGGCGCACCGTTTCAAGATTACATATGTACATCTACAAAACTATTACAATGATTAACTGGAGCATTTAGGGCAGTATCCAAGAGGTGTTATAGAATAAAATAAGACAGCAAAATTGTTGGTTTTTTAAGCCGTGAAACCCATGTAGCCCTTTAAGAAGAGGCAAATTTTGAGCATACTTTAGAGTAATATCATGCTGATTTTAAAATGTATTGAAATAGTCTTGAGTGTAATTTTTAAAACTTGAAAACTTAATTTTTAAATCAGATCTTTAAGATATAAAATACATGGCATACGAGTTTAAGATATGAGAACATGAATTATATACAAGTTTCTCTGTTTATTTAAAAATATTAAATTGTACATTTATACGTGTAAACAACCTATCTTTTTTTAGATGTTATGTCATAAAAAATCTAAAAGAACGAAGAACGTTTCAGAAGTGAAAACACATGCCCTCATAGTATCCCTTGCCGTATACAGACTATTTTTTACTACTTTGCTTACCGATTTCAAAAATTATGAGCAGTGTTGTGATAGCAACTCTATAGATAAATTATTGTCTAAGAATTCGAGCAGTTTTCAATTCGAAATATTGTACTATCTCTAGTTATCTAAATTAAACCAAATACTGTTTCATATTGCTACATATTTTTACTGATTTTACATTGTCGCAAATATTGACAACTTTCCTCATAGTAGTATATAAATGCAGTGCATTAATGAAATAAAAACGTTGCCTACATTTAGGAGCCAAGTATAAAAAATTTAGCTGGGTCAGACGCTAATTAGAATGATTTTGAATATATAATGACAATTGAGGCATATAAAACGTATATTATGACAGAGTTTATCACGATCATCTTTAATTTAGTTCCTACAGGCCTTTAACTCCTTGACATCAACTGAATTTCCAGTTTATATTTACGAGAATAGTCACCATTGCGACTTTTCCTGCACATCCTCAGTTTATACCTTCCATCTTAATATTTATTTATAATTTGTTTACATATCACCACTTCACCTTTGGGCGTGCCATGTAGTAATCCCATAATTGACATCGTTCGCCGTGATTTATGCTTCCAATTATAGGTTATGGCCTGTCTCCATGGCTGCTGCCATTGTGTCTGCACCGTTTGTTGTTATTAAAATATTTTAAAATGAACTTAAAAATTAAATACCCATTACTCATGAAGTGTCGAAGCAGTCTGCCACAAACGGTGGCACAACTTACCTGCAATCAAATATGTGAATGCATATGTGTGCCTGCTAAATAAGAGCGCTTACAAACGTATATGTAATTACTGGTAACCCCACATTTACATGCCCGAATTAATGCTCTTGCGTATATCCAAATAATTCAGTTCATATAGTACATATAATATCGTGTTTTGCCCCAATTCCGCTTCATGCGGCATGAATATCAAACGCGCCACAACGAATTCAGTCAAAAGTTTGTTTGGTCTTTTCTCGGTATTTTGCATTCAATAATTACTATGCATATTAAGTAAGTACACGTATTTACTTTTTAGATTTGTGGCGCCGCACTTTGACGTGAAAAGTTTCTGTAATGGAAACCTTGTACCAGACGTCTGCCAATTGTTGCCCGAAATGGACTAACGAGTTTTTGTTTTGTCTACTCTATTTTTCTAAGTTTGCTTTACAATTGCTTCTAACGAAATATGTATCAAAGTTATATGTTGTATGCCACATAGCATTGCAAGTACAATTTTATTGGAATTACACAATAGTTTTTTTGTTTTTTTTTTTTTGCAAATTTTTGCATGCACTGCTGGCTTACTGAATTTCTTTATTATATGTTTGTCCAAGTATGTATGTGTCTATAAATATGTGCAACATGCCTCTTTGTTTGTGTAAATATTTCAGTACACTCTTTTATAACTGTTTTATATTGACTTTATTCATAAATAAGTTTGTTTATTGGCTTGTGACAGCGCAGTCAAGCGTGAAGCAGTTTTCATGCAATAAATTGGCGAGCGAAAATTGCTATTTGTGGCATGAAGACATAAAAGCAAAAAGGGCTTACTGTTGTTTCTGCTTTTTTTGCTACATTTATTTGCTATCGAATTTTAAATTCACAGAATTTTATTTCAAGCATGGCATTAAGTGCTCGTGCAAATTTTGCACTGACGTTATATGTGAAGCTTTAGCTTTAGATCAAATTTCCTTCCGACTCTATTTCTGTAATAAAAATAAATTGACAAGCTAACTATGCAAACTATGTGGAATTTTTATTTATTATCTGTATTTGTTTTTGTTTTAATATCCAAAGCGCTGAAATAATTTAAATTATTTTCAATTACAAAAAAAAATTTTTTATCCACTTAAATCGGCTTAGAACATTTAAAAATGTTGTGTTTGCTTAAAAAATCATATTAATTCATTTCAGTTTATTTGCTTGAATAATTTTTTCTTTACATGTTTAAAAAAAATATTGAGGATACAACGATGTAATGAATTTTTCGTTTTATTTAGTACCCAAAATAGTTCTGGAGAAAAACCTCTCATTGTTTTTGAATCTATTTTATTAACGAGAATCTCATAATCGAATGGGAAGTATGTTGTTTTTTTGTTTGAAAGATCTTACATACAAATCATACTTAATTTCTATAAAAAAAAAGGTTTATATAGCATTAGAAATAGTTTAAAAAAGATATTTTCATCATTAGATGAATCTTCGAATCTCACCAAGTAGAGAATTTTTTGTTTAGGTTTCATCCGCGGAGAAAGCCGAAATCATCACTACAGCAAGAGAGAACCTTCTTTTAGTGAAGATATAACGTAAACTGTGTGCAGTACTTTTCGTCTTTGTAATTCGCCAAAATTTTCTGTTTTTGGCTGTCACACGAAAAGTGCGCCTTAAGCTCAATAATACCTACAGGTTCGTGTCTATAATATGAACTCTGAATGCTTAAAGACTTGATAATCGTATACCGCACAGATTTTCTGCAAAGTTCGTACTATTCGTAATACCTTAAGTAGTCTTAAAGTGATAAATTTTCCTTCTAGGATCCGGTCGAATTCAATTTATTACACCACTCATATCAACTTTTGATCAAATAGTTTACTAGGTTCTATATTTAATATTTATTTTCATTGAGCTGACAGAAATAATTATTTTATCATCAATTTATAATCAAATTCATTGAAGTTTTTTTACAATCTTTGTTTTTCACTCTTCTTCATATATTAGATTACTGACATTCAACATGCATTAGTGCGAACTTAAGCCATCAGTCACAAAGTTTATTGTTATACAGTAACTCACAAGCAACACAATTTAATTAGTAAGCCAATTAAAGACATTAAATTTGTAAGTAATCACCTAAGTATTGTTATGTTGAAATAATTTCTGATTATTAATTCCAACATATAATTACATGTACCCAAGTATATACAATACATATACTTATGTATAAATTTTGGAACTAAAAATTAAATTTAAATTTTGTAATCCAAGTTGTTTGCGATTTAATGAAGTACAAAAACGCGAAAAAATATTGATTCCAAAGCAAATTCTTTTTTTAATACATAATTATATGCTTGAGATTGAAATTTTTATTTTTTATTCCGATAGTTGAGACTAAAAATCCCAAACATCTTGGATTAAAAAATGAAAATTTAATTTTTATCCCAACATCGGGATGGAAGCATGAATATCTGATTTTTAGTAGTAAG